GACTATATCCTCTCCCATTTTATTTCTTTAAAAAAACCTTAGGCAGGCAAGATTGACATACAAAAAGCTGTCCATAATTAATGTATGTAACTTGACCCTGATTCTAACCCTAATCTCTAGTTAAGAGATACTCCATGTATAATTCTGCTCATAAATTAAAGGATGGTTTTTAGAAGCTAAGGAATTCAGGGACCAACTTTCTTCTGCCTTATTCTCCCTTGAATCCAGTAAATGGGAACACATTTGGCCATGTGCTATCTGGAGAGTGGCCACACAGCGGCAACAGTGAGTACACAGTGCCCCAAACCCCACTGCAAAGCCCATTCTTCCTTTTTCCTGTCAAACCTTGTTCATTCAATGTTTACAGATAGTTGTATAGATTATGAAAAGTGTGACTTTGCTGAATTTTTTAAAAACCAAACTAATTCTTTCAACCTGTTCAGAATAGAAGATGTTTTCTAAAATCTCAGAGTTGGCAAGCAGATGAAGGCCCAGGGGCCTGGGAAAGGGCTATTACTATTGAATCTATTCAGGTATAGTTAGGAAACAAGGATGACTTCTATTCTACTTCTTTTCAGGAAGAATTTGTGTCAACTAACAGTCCTGAATCCACACAAAATACTGCAGCTCAGAGGAAAACCAAAGGAGAATCAACAGCCTCCAGAAGCAGAGAAAGAGCCACAGCCAGGAAAAAAGAAGACATACCACGAAGGCTCTGCTCAGGCCAACTTGCAGTCTGTAGATCCTCTGGAGCCAGAATGCCCCCAATGCCCCTGGGGGTCATGGGTCAGGCAGAGCGCACAACCTGATGCGGCACTGTTGTAACCCATGACAAGTCTCCTGGTCCCTTCATCCATGAGACACCCCACCCCCACCCATGATGACTCCAGCCTGCTTCAAGGAACTCCCATTCCCCTTTCCGACCTCATCGTTCACTTTTCCCATCACTGCCATCATACAGAGTATGTTTAACTACTTACTATTCTGTCATTTAAGTGTTTTTTGTCATGTTTGCTGTGAAACGATGCCTTGCATCATCTACCCTGATGTAGAATCCCTCACCGCATTGCCTGATTTCACTGTGCCCTCATAGTGTCATGGGGCTAGTGTCTTGGACAAGGCCCTCACTAAGCCAGCTCAGCTGTTGCAGTGAAGGCCTGATTCAAGCACTGCTATTTGTGTGCAAGTAGGCAGCACAGCCAAAACCTTGGTTTGGATTCAGAATTGCTCATGGCCTCTCAGCCAAATCTGGGGGCACACCCTGAAGATACTTGTTGCCCTGGGGAATTTCCATGGAATAGCCATTGTGTCCAATGAGCAGGGACGATGGGAGTCAGAACTCCTGAGATAGAATCTATCTTGGAGTCTGCCCAGAACTTCCTAGGATTTCATTCCATAGTCTTCAATAAATCAATTAATCTAAAAACATTTTCTCATTTTAGAAATGAGGAGCCTGAAGCTCCAATGAAGGGACTCTCCTAGGTCATATTGGAAATCAGCAAAAGAGCCAGACTGAGATGGGAGGTGGCCTCTGGCATGATCCCCCAGAGTGGCTTTAGCTAGAGCCACAATCACCCATTTATCTTTCCTGGACTCCCTGACTCTCAGGGACTCTTCATGGGGCCTATTCTGGGAACAAAGGTCATGTCAGTGCCATAGAAACCTCTGGCACTTGTTATAAACGAGACTTTGATGTCAATGGAGTCCCAAGCCATAGGCCATCTCAGAGTTTGTCTGAAAAGATATGGCTGGTGGGAAACCCACATGCTGACAGAGGGTAGAGGAAGATGCAAAAAGCTAGGGAAAGAGAGGGTGCTTGTGTAACATCTGGCCCCAGATGACATGGTGGTACCCAGCAGGGCAAGTCCCCCCAAATACCCCCCAGCGCCTTCACAGAACTCACCCACAAGGTTTGAGGCTGAGCTTCATACATGGGTCATGAGCACTCCGACTAGCTCAGGGAAGCATGACAGGACATAATAAAGCCACAGCCTTGACAGATACATATTCATGGAGCAATAGCTTTCTCCAAATATATTCTGATATGGTTAAAAATTCACTGATAAAATATGAATATTTTTTATTAAACAGAAAGTCATTCTTGTTGAATTAATAAATATTTATGGAGTATCTTCTTAGGGCAAATATAATACAACCTGGGAGCTTGCAAAGACTGTGGGATATAATCAATAAAACAAAGATAGGAAGTAACGCAGGCTGAGAGCCATTCTATTCAGAGAGGCCCATTAAGGAAGTCACTGAGAAAATGCTTTTCAGCCTAGACCAGAAAGACAGGGCCAGCGAGTTCATCTGGGAGAAGAGTCACAGAAGAATTCAATTCTTAATTGTCTTTAAGTGCTGCTTTGGAACATTTGGTTCTTCTCTGTAACTATTTGGGTTTCATGCTAACCTTTGCTCACCGTAAAATACTCTAAAAAAAATGTCTTATTTAAGCATGGACATCTTGTATTAAAGGCAAATAAGTTAACCCTAGTAAATCCCTAAACCCTAACCCCTGACCCTAAACTATGACCCTAAACCATGACCCTAAATCCTGACCCTAAACCTGACCTTAACCCTAACCCTAAACCAACACGCACCTAGCAAGAAGCTAGAAGGGCTAGAAGCCCTCCCAACACAGGGTGCACACACAGCCCCAATTGCCACCAACACCGACCAATTCTCAAGAGCATTCTGCCCAAATCAGTACCAATTTGGGCAGAATGCTCATTAGAATTGGGCAGAAACCCCCATCAAACTCGCTTCCATGGCAGCAGCCTTGAGGGTAGCCTCCTGGGCCCAGACCGAGGTCCCCAGTGGTGCCTGAGGGAACCCTGTGAGAACGCCCTCTAATCACCAGGCGCAAGCCCAGCCCAGATCACCTCAGAATGCTAGCCAGCCCTGCCCTCTACTCAGCCCCCTGGGGATGCCGTCTCAGCGCTGGCAGATCAGGCCTGTCATGCCCCTAGGCTCTAATCCTAACGGTATGGTTGTGTTGTCAGGCTTCTGTGCCCAGAGATCTGGCCCCCAAGCCCTCCAAATTGGGGACCCCTGAACCCCACCCTAGGAGTCCCCCTGCCACCGGGAGCAAACCAGCCGTTTGGAGCTCCGAGGAATCCTCGGAGCAGGAGAAACCTGCATTCCTCCTGAGGCCACTCCCACCTTCCCCAGCACCTCCTGGCTCCAAACTTAGAGCCTGATGCCCCCTTTGACCCGGGCCCTCCACTCAGTCCCCGGGCAATCCCGCTCAGCCTCAGCACCAGCAGATCAGGCCTGCCACGCCCCTCAGCCCTAACCCTAACCCTAGGTTGCGTTTTCAGGCTTCTGTCCTCAGAGGCCTGGCCCTCAAGCCCTCCAGATTGGGGAACCCAGAGCCACACCCCAGGATTCCACCTGGCACCCAGGAGGAAACTTTGCTGTTTGGAGCTGGCGGGGCGTTGTGTAGTGATTCTGGCCGTGCACCCACCCGGTGCCTGGAGGGCCTTCTCTCTAGGTGCGTCTTTCACCAGTCTGGGACCACAGCCGGACCCACGCTGAGGGGAGCTCCCCTGGGGCAGAGTCCAGGAAGGAGATCTGGCTGGGCATCAGGCTCTGGGTTTGTGGGCAGCAGTGGGTGCTGAAGGTGGGGGTGGCCTTGGGGGGTCCATGCAGGTTTCTCCAGCTCTGAGGGTATTGCACAGCTCCAAAAGGCATGGTTTCCTCCTGGGTGGCAGGTGGAGTCCTGGGGTGTGGCTCAGGCGTCCCCAAACTGGAGGGCTTGGGAGCCAGGCCTCCGGAGGGAAGCCTTTTAACCTGAAGAATATAAATAGAGGATGTGGTCCAGAAGAAATCTATTTCCATGGATAATTACAGCATAATATGAACTAGGTGTGATAGGGAGGAATTCAGCAAAGTCTGTTGTTAAAATTCTCTCCCGGTCCTCTTGTTTCTGTGCAGCCCAGTAAACATTAATACCTTTTCATCTTCTGTGCATTACTTTCCTTCCCTTTTAAGTCCCAAACTCCCTTCTCCTTAGTTCAGGGTGACATGTAAACCTTTTACTTTTCTATTTTTGCATCTCTCCTACACCTGGCCTTCCCACAGTTACAAGATCCAATTTGGTTTTCTTCTGTTGATGTGTTTCATGTCAATTTAATTCTAAGAGCAGCTGGAAGAAGCTTTGAAGGATGGAGGAAGGGAAGAGAAACATTCTTCCTCTCCAACAAGTGACTGGCAAAAGCAGACGCTCCACAGTTTGGATCGCGCAGAAATCAGAGTTTGATGGTTCCTTGCTTCCAGAGCGAGGTCGGGCGCCGCCTCCTCTGAAGGCCCTGCCCCTTTAAGAAAAGTAGGAAAAGGCCGAGGGAGGCTGCTGGGAAGGAGGGCGGGGTGCTCGGTCCACGCTCGGCACCCGGAGTCGCGCGCAGCTTGTCGTGTTGGGGGCGATCTCGGCGCACCAGGTGCGATTCTGAAGAATGCCAGGAAAGACGCACAAAGGCGAGCGCTTCGCTGGGCCGCTCTTAGGCCAGCCTGGTAAGGACAAAAGGACGACTGTGCCTGCCCCTTTAAGACCGAGTTCCGTTCTCCTCGGAGGGAAATAACGTGGTCAGGAACCCTTTGGGAAACTTACCCTTTTTAACCCCTCTTCTTTCCTTAACAATTAATAACAGGTACATAGTGTCCCCCGCATAGTCACGTTCACAAAGGATGCTCCATTGGTGCTGGGGTGGAAGGGGGAGGCGCTGGTGTAGACGACCTGAGGTTCCAAACCCAAACCACCTCCTGTTTGCCGGGCTGTGTTTACAAGCCTCGGCTCCCGCGATTCAAGGGCTGACCCAACGCTTCCTAACAGAATTAGTCCAGAGAGAAGAGGCTGTTAGAGACCCTGGGATCCCGAGGGCACGATGGGGAGATGACACCCAGTGCAGGTCTACCCTGAATTCGTACACAAGTGGCCTGGCAGGCGTTTTAGCCTGCCCTGTGTTCTGATATTTTAATTGATCGCTTTTGTTTACAAGTGGGGGGTTATGTGTGAAGCCCTGGATTATCTTGAGAAACTGGAAGATCTGGCAGCGTGTTCTTTTACCTGGAAGCAGTTTGCTGGCCCCTTTGCACTGCTCAGAAACAGTCTCCAGGTCGCCACAGCCCCTCTGTTATAACCAGCGGCACCACTCAGGGTCACCAGTCCGGGCCCCTGGTAGGCGTTTGAGTTTGGGGCGCCTACTGTAAATATTTGGGCGGATGGGTACAGGACTATTTTAAAACATTTATGCAGAACAGTTCAGAGGCCCCAAATAACTGGATATGTAGTTTGTGTTTAAACTGCTGTTTCTTATTCTTTCTTATTCTTACCAAGGCATTTTTCTATTGGAGCAAGCCTTTTCGTCCGAGGCTTGGTAAAATTGAGTCATCGGAGGTAGTTACAGGAGGATATTTGCGAGTTGATATTCTTTTATGACAATTAAGTCCATAAAGTTTTAAGAAAAAATCTGAATTTTGATTACGTTGATGTTTTATGCTACAACAGCCGTTACATAAATAGAGTGTACTCAGTATAATTTGTATATCTTTGTCCACAATTATAGTTTGGTAACCTCCACAACTCTTGGCAAGACTTCATAAAGGCAAGAACAGTGTTTGCCCTGGTAACAGCTCTACCTCACCACTAGAATCTAAGCATCCCAAAGATGGAGACTTATTTTGCTCACACTGCCTACTTAAGAGTAAGTGATTTATTGAATGTGTTAAAGAACTTGATTTTGTGTGTGTGTGTGAAAGAACTTTAAACCTTATTTTATGTAACTGGCATGTTCCGGAGGTTTTCTCTCAAAATCAAATGCTTGTATGTTTATTGTTATAAATTATTAAAACGTCTTTGTTGTGAAAATAATTCCTTTTAAATTTTTTTTAAAGATTTATTTATTTATTTATTTGACAGAGATTACAAGTAGACAGAGAGGCAGGCAGAGACAGAGAGAGAGGAAGGGAAGCAGGCTCCCTGCTGAGCAGAGAGCCCAGATGCGGGGCTCAATCCCAGGACCCTGGGATCATGACCTGAGCTGAAGGCAGAGGCTTTAACCCACTGAGCCACCCAGGCATCCCAAAATACTTCCTTTTAAAAGATTGGATTTTGGGGCACCTGGGTGGCTCAGTGGGTTAAGCTGCTGCATTCGGCTCAGGTCATGATCTCGGGGTCCTGGGATTGAGTCCCGCATCAGGCTCTCAGCTCAGCAGGGAGCCTGCTTCCCTCTCCCTCTCTCTCTGCCTGCCTCTCTGCCTACTTGTGATCTCTGTCTGTCAAATAAATAAATAAAATCTTTAAAAAAAAAAAGGTTGGATTTTCCTAAGTTGATGTACCAATATTTCCATCTGAAATGGACTTGCACTTGTGAATCATCTTCTACAGAGCTTATACTGTAATATTTTCTCCCTATGTAATGGGATTTGGAAGCGTCAGTGAACCTTGGAATTTTCAGTATTATTTCTGTTTTTAGAGATCCACAGATTCCAGTTGAGATTACTGTAGCAGCCAGACCCTTCCTTCTTCAGGAGGAGCAGCAGTTCTTATCAACAGCCACGTTGACAGAACCTGTGTTTTGAAAAAGGACGATGGCTTCGAGCCTAGGTTGGAGAGCATTTGCACCATTTCACATGAACCACTGTGGTGTCTTTCTGAAAGCTCTGAGAAGCAGTGGTCTTTCCTTGTTTCCCTGGGGCCATTCCCCTTGGAGAGGAACTGGAAGCTTTTTGGACCCCGAGATGAAAGCTTTCCTGGAAGAGAACACTGAAGTCACCAGCAGTGGCAGCCTCACCCCTGAAATCCAGTTGCGGCTTTTGACGCCCAGATGCAAGTTCTGGTGGCAAAAAGCTGACCTGTGGCCCTACAGCGAGCCTTACTGGGCAATCTACTGGCCAGGAGGCCAGGCCCTGTCTAGGTATTTCCCTATCTGAAATGGGAAGCTTTAAGGCCCAAACAGATCCTGTTTTCTTCAGATTCTTTTTTCAGCCCCTTCCAACTCTGCATTCTCTTTGCTCCTCACAAAAACAAAACCAAACAAACAAACAAACAAAAAAACAACAACAGTGAAACCCCCAAATTCTTATTTTCTTAATTTGGAGCAATTTAAGCATACTCCAGGCTTATCAATGTATTTCCCCAAATATAGTTCTCTCTCTAAGTGAAACCCTAGGATCAGCTGTCAAGACCCTAGATACTATGAATGATCTGGAAATTTCACACTATTCTCTGGTTCATGGTTCATAAAGTATGGCCAGTGCAGTTTCTTAAAGCCCCAGTCCTTCAGCTCTCCTAGTTTAATCTCATAAATGTTGCTCCTCGAGCCTCACACTCCATCCCTCCCTGGAGGCTCACTTCTTTCAATTACCCAAAAAACAAGAGATGTGAGTGAGTGGGCCCCATGAGGATTCCCTCTTTAGTGACTCAGTGACATCTCAGTTGAACTCTGGACTTGAATCTGCATTTTTTTTTTTTTTTTTTCAAGTAAGCTCTATGCCCATTGCGGGGCTTGAACTCACAACCCTGAGACCAAGAGTTGCATGCTGTACAAACTGAGCCAGCCAGGTGTGCCCTGAATCTGCATTGTTAAGGTCTCCTCTTCCACCCACCCCCCAGCCCCCATACTGCAGAAATGTTCTTTCGGACATTCTCTCATATATCACACTATGCTTTTTATTAAAACACAACTGCTGAGACAAAGGCAAGAGCTTTTAGCATTTCAGTCTGGCTTTTGCTCTTAGATTGTTTAATGATTAAACTTGCTTATACCTTCAGCCTATTGACCTCTGAAATTAAATGGATAAGCACTTCTCATTTGCAGGAGTGGGATGACCTAACAGAATTAATGTTGTATATAGTTTAAATGCAAAATAAATAAATGCATATGTAGAGCTGTTTAGAGAATCCTGAAGATTGGAAAGCTTTCTAGGTGTTATCAAACAAGTCTGATTTTCTGGTTGTTGCCAAATTTTCAAGCTATGTTCACTTACATCATACCTTGAAAATATTGACATTTTCAGTGACGTCTATTAAAGTGATTGTTTGTCAACTTCAAATAAAAATACAATCAAATTCCTTAACAGACTGAATCAGAGGTCACAAGTTGATACACCCACAGATGTGTTTTATTTGGCCTTTACTTGTAAACTTAAAATGAAAAATCAGTTGCTAACATTTAAAACTTGGGAAGTTTAAAAAAAATAAGAAATAAAAATAAACTTGGGGAATTTCATGTAAAAATGTCTGATCTTGAAAAAACAGAGGTATCTGATTAACACAGGATTTCTACATGGCAGCAGTGAGCTAAAAATGGGTAGCAGCTTCCCATTTAGACAGCCATGTACACCCCTACTTTGCCATAATCCCGGATATTCTTCATTTTTCAGTAGTAAGGTCAAGTGTTGGTTGATATATATTATTTCAGGGTTTCTCATCCATCTTCAGTGTTTGATAACTGTTTAGCCTTGGTCCAAATTGATTGAACTGGACTTTGTACCTTACCAGAGAGGTCATTATAACTCAACATAAGCTATAGGTAAAACCACTCTATGATGGACAATCAATTTTGAATTCTGAATTTTGAATCTAGTTTACTGAATCCTTATTATAGCAGTATTTTGTTGGTCTATATTGTAGGTGCTTGACTGTTTCAGGATCATAAGTGCTCAGTATTTTAAAAAGACATTTTTTGGGGGGATTGCCTGGTTGGATCAGTCATTAGAGCTCGTAACTTTTGATCTCAGGGTCATGAGTTCAACCCCTATGTTGGGCATAGAGCTTAAAAAAAAAAAAAAAAGATTTTCTTTTTTTAATACCTCCTGCTGACCTCTATCTCAGATAGTGTTCTTTGCTTTCTTTCCAAATTAGGTATCTTTTGGATAATCCTGATGTTGTTAGAGGAAAGTCTGTGTTAGATCTTGGGAGTGGATGTGGAGCTACAGCTATTGCTGCCAAGATGAGTGGGGCATCAAGGATCTTGGCCAACGACATAGACCCTAGTAAGGATCTTATATTTAAAAATATTTAAAGCTCATCTTTATTTTCCTCCAGGATAAATATGTATGGATGCCTCAACATGATAGCTTATTTCCATGCATATTTTGTCATCAGATATTGTGAACTTATGTTCAGTGGGACATAATCTGTGAAGATCCTGTGGGTCCTGAATTGAAGTGCATATTTCTTAAGAGGATTTGTATTTATGTCTGTCAGATAGCCCAAAGTGTACCCAGCTGGGAGCACTTACTGTTAATTTCTGAGCAAGGGATTTCTTGAAATATGTAGGTTGTGTATATTTGACCCAAAACCCAAGTGAAGATAGGCCTTGTGTTTTGAGGGTGATTTTATTCCATTAAAACCCAAGTTGAGACAAGTCAGTTTTAATTTTATCTGATTTTCTTTTAGTTTTCAATTTTACTGAGGATCTGGTGGAGAGGGGTAGAGGAAGAGGGAGAGAGAGAATCTTAAGCAGGCTCCACACCCAGCATGTGAGCCTAGTGCAGGGCTTGATCTCACAACTCTAAGATCATGACCTGAGCTGAAATCAAGAGTCAGACGCTTAATGGACTGAGCCACCCCAGTGCCCCAAGATCCTTATTTTATACAGGGGACTCAGGTTGCTCAAGTCCAAGACCTGTTTCCCTGGACAGCTATAATAAACCAAACCTCTTGGTTATTAGATCAGCAAATATTCCTTGAAACCTCCACATTTCTAGGTGTTTTGTACTGTTTGTTTTGTTTTTAGGATATCCACTCATATGTTTGAAAATTTCAGTAAATAGTTTATGTTGGTAGATGTTCTTTACCTAAAAAACAACTTTCAATAAAAGGGAAAAAATATTGTTAGATTTTCTAAATTACTTAAATTAATCAATAGGGGATTAAAACTGCCTAGCATAAACCAATTCATTATGTGCTTTTTAAAGTTGCAGGAATGGCTATCATACTGAATTGTGAGTTGAACCAACTGAACCCTTTTCCCATTTTAACCAAAAACATTTTGGATTTGGAACAAGAAAAGTGGGACCTTGTTGTGCTTGGAGATATGTTTTATGATGAAGACCTTGCAGACAGTCTTCATCAATGGCTGAAGAATTGCTTTTGGATCCACAGAACTCGAGTACTGATTGGTGACCCTGGACGACCCCAGTTTAGTGGACATAGCATTCAACATCAACTGCACAAAGTGGTAGAATATTCACTTCCAGAGCCTACCAGGAGGGAAAACAATGGGTTGACAACAAGCACAGTATGGGATTTTCAGCCTTGAGTTGTCCAGGTGCTTCCAAGTGAATATAACTATGTTTGGGTTTAACGCTAAAAGACCCTCCAGTTTAAAGCATGTATATCTTGTTTCCAATATACTGAGTCATAAGTTTTGTCAGCCTTTGTCATGTTACTCATTCTGCATTATGCCAAATATGCAAATCTCTACCTGACAGTTTTCTACTTTTACTGCTGTAGGAATAGAATTCTAGAAGGCAGTACCAAAATGGTAGCAACATGTAACTTAAGTAGTAGAGAAGAATGAGAAAGAAAATGAAAAAGCAAAGTCTGTTTCTGTAGTTGAGAAAACTATATGATGGATCTTCAAATTAGACCCAATACAAAATAGAGAAGAGTACTGTATTTCAAAAACAATGACCTGTAAAGATCAGAGCTGCATTTAGTGTGCTACAGAGTATATGGGCTTTGGAGTCAGGCAACTCTGTCACTTTCTAGTTGGGACTTTAGGCCAGTTAAGCTCTCTGAACTTTAATTTCTTCATCTATAAAACTGTAACAAACTTAAGAAACCTCACCTCAAGGCTATTTTATTAAATGAAAGAATAAAGTGCCTCATATAGTACTTGGTACACAATAGGACCTCAACTGACAGTCATGGATAAAAA